GCCTGGCCATTTTCTGGTTGCAGCCATCATTGTTGTTTGGCGAGCCCGGGCTGGGGACTCAAACCTGCCACCTTAGGTGTATGTGGCTGGCGCCTTAGCCGCTTGAGCCACAAGCGTCGAGCCCTAATACTTGGGAGACTGAGGCAAGAGAATCGCTTAAGCCCAAGAGTTTGGGGTTGCAGTGAGCTATAAAGCCTTAGCACTTTACCGCTCTACCGAGGGCGACACAGTAAGGCTCTGTCTCAAAAAAAAAAAAAAATTACTTTTCTCATTATAAAAAATTGAGAAATAACCGTAAACTACAGTATTACAGAATTATTGTACAATAATGTATATGTCCTATACATTATTCAAATATATTCTGCAAAAACATTCTTTTAGTAACTAATCTTGTTTTCACAGTTTTGCATTCTTTTGCGAACTTGTCCATGTTTCCGGCCCCACAAAACCTGCACCTATCTCTAGCCCCAACTTTTTTGCATCGTACAACACAGCTCCTGAGAAACAACTTCGAACTGTGCGCAGCACGGCAAAATAAATGCAGGAACAGAACCTAAGTTCAAAAGCATGAAAGCCAAACAGGCTACAGCTCCCGCAGCTACAAGGGCAGACGCTGCACGCGCTTTCGCCCACGTGGCCCAGACGCACACCCGGAAAGGTAGGCGGAGGGAGGGACCCCTAGGTTTGCTCAGAGACCACCGCTGGTCGCACAGACCCGCTGGGGCCGCCCTCCCCCACGGGGCTCTCTTCCCCTCCCCACCCTGCCACCCCGCATCCTGTCTTCTCCCGCAGAGTCTCAGGCCGCCCTCCCCCACGGGGCTCTCCTTCCCCCGCCCCCTGCTTTCCGTCTAATCTGGAGGTCTTAACCCGCCCAGGTTTTAAACTCCCCTTAGTCTTCTCCGCGACCCCCAAGCCACCCTCCCACCTGGGGCACCCTCCCTGCCTGCGGCGCCCCCCAGCGGCCGTGACTCTCCCAGCCGCCTGGGCTCGACGTCGCCCTGGGCAGAACGCCCGTGCGAGGCCCCGACGTTTCCTCAGACGAGCCGGGCGCGGATTGGCCCCAGGCCGCGGGAAGTGCCCGCCCCTAGGTCGCCGGCCAATGGGGGTCGGGGGCGGGACCGCGGCACAGGCGCCGGAAGCGGAGTAAGCGACGAGGGGACGTCGCGTCACCGCGCCGGGTCTCGAGCAGCTGCCGCGGAGCCGCCGGACGGACCGCCGCCCCCGCCTGCCGCGCCATGGCCGAGAGCGACTGGGACACCGTGACGGTGCTGCGTAAGAAGGGCCCCACGGCCGCGCAGGCCAAATCCAAGCAGGTGCCTCGCCCACCGGAGGAGCGTCTGGGCCAGGCGGAGCGGTCGCTGGGCTGGGCTGGGGGCAAGGCTGGGGGACGGGCGAGAGGACAGCGGTCGAAGGTCTGGGGCGGAGCAGGGGGAGGTGTGGGGCCCAGTCATGTGACAGAAGTAGGGCTGGGGGACTGGGTATAAGGTGCGAGGGACAGAGGTGGGATTAGGACTAGGAGCAGGGTCAGTGAGGAGGAGGGGGCAGGGAACGCGCTGGGTTGGGGTGCGGGGTGACGGACGGCGACAAGAGTCAGGGAATTGGGGTGGGGGCAGGGCTTAGGGACCTGTGTGAGGATGAAAGCCAAAAGTCGGGGCAGGGACATGGGACGGGTGACGGGGCGAGGCTGCGGCTGGGACCAGGGAGTATGGGGTCAGGGAAGAGACCGTGATGGGACAGGGAGGGACAGTTGGTTCCAGGAACAGGGCAGGAGGTGGGGCCCAGAGGCAGGGACGGGGGGGTAGGAAGTGAGCTGGGGGGGCAGTGGGAATAGAGCAGGTAAGAGAGAGACAGAGTGGGAGATTGGGAGGGGAAAGAGCCGGGTGACCAGAGGGGAGTACCTGGTCCCTGTTCTGGGATGGCCTAGAGACTCTGTGTGCAGAGGGATCTTGCTTTCCCCAGTTGCAAGGGTAGAAGGGCAGCCCCTGAGTGATGCTTACATAGAGGGAGTCGGCAGTGTGGCTGATGCATCCTTAGGTCAGTTGTGACTCAGGTGTAATGTGGGGAGGCTGTTTAGTTACTGCCCCTGCCTGGTTTGTACTCTCAGAATGGCACAAAGTATGGTCAGGAGTCCTGGGGATCTTGACGTCAAGCATGTATTGACCTGCCCTGGTCTTATCGATTGAATGGTGGAAACCAAATGCACTTGTTTTTCAAAGGAACTTAGTGCCCACAACCTGGGAGTCATGTGAACAGACACTTTTTGTGGAAAGCATCTTTAAATATATCATACCTAAAACGTCACACAGATCATTTCTCTAAATCATTAGAAGTATGAAGAAGTACTTTAATATTCAGTGACTATAGGCTTGGTGCCCATAGCTCAGTGAGTAGGGTGCTGGCCACATACACTGAGGCTGGTGGGTTTGAGTCCAGACCAGAGCTGCTAAACAACAATGACAACTACAACCAAAAAATAGCCAGGCATTGTGGCTGGCACCTGTAGTCCCAGCTTCTTGGGAGGCTGAGTCAAGAGAATCGCTTAAGCCTAAGAGTTTTGAGGTTGCTGTGAGCTGTGATGCCAAGACACTCTACTGAGGGCGACATAGTGAAACTTCATTGCAAAAAATAAAAAAATTCAGTGACTATAGATCAGACAGCCAGCATCACTATTATTGGCAGTGTTTCCAGAGAGAATGCAGGTTTCCATGAGATGTGTCATCTCTGTTTTATTAGGAGCCAGATTGAGGGAGGAAGGCCACACTAGGTCAACACTTGGTTTTCTTTCCTGCATTTGCAGGAGAGTCTAGCACAGAAGCAAATCTATTTTAAATATGATTTCTATAAAGAATCTATTAGTACTTGCCAGCAGTCTCCATTACTTGGGAGGATTGCATGGGGCCAACAGTTGAAGACCAGTCTGGGCAGCATAGTGAGACTCTGTCTCTAAAAAGGGGGAAGAAAAAGAATCTGTCACCCTGTCTTCCTCAGCAGTGAATGAAGTGATCTTTTGTCTTTCTAGCAGCAGTTTACTGTGAGTTTCCAGGATATTCGATTGTAGAGTTTTGTATGATGAGCTTGGGTTATGGAACCCAGCATTGTATGTCAACTCTTCAAAACCACTAATCATTAGCAACATGCTGATTGGCTAACAGCAGCCTAAGCAGACGTGTGGTAGACACTGCCAAAGCTAACTTTTATCAAAAAAGTTTTCTAATTTTCTAGGCCATCTTAGCGGCTCAGAGACGGGGAGAAGATGTGGAGACTTCCAAGAAATGTAGGTACCTATGTTTCTGCTGGGACACATCAGGACTCAAGGACTCAGTAACTGGGCACTGTTGATGCCAGTCAGAGAGCCAGTATCTGGGATCCCAGAGCATCTCTAGTTGGCTCAAGAACAGCAGAGACTTTTTCTGCCTACTTCGTGTAATTGAGAGAAAACTCTGGAATTCCATGTTCATATGGCTGAATTTTGGGCAGAATTTGGGTTCCTAGAGGCAAGGTAGTAGAGCCTGTCCTCTGGGTCTGGTTACCATTCTGAAGTCATTCTTCTCAGGTAATTCCAAACCTTCTCCTCTGCTCTTGCCTCACTATAGGGGCTGCTGGCCAGAACAAACAGCATTCAATCACCAAGAACACAGCTAAGCTGGACCGGGAGACAGAGGAACTGCACCATGACAGGGTGACTCTGGAAGTGGGCAAAGTGATCCAGCAGGGCCGGCAGAGCAAGGGGCTCACACAGAAGGACCTGGCCACG